GTGGTTCACAATACACACCAGTGGTGTGTGCCTTCAGTTCTCATATGCACAAATTAATTATAGTTTTGAGGCAAATGTAGGTCACCTTACCATCATCGTTTCATCAAATTGTGGGCCCCTTTGGATCTGGATTTTTCAATCCTCATAAAAGTCAATATTGGAATTGAGATTCACTCCAATTGACATTTCTAGGAATATGGTATATGCTGTTTGGATCTCATCCTCATCTAGTAGCAATCAAAGTAATACAAATTTTTTATTTGGATTGTTTGGGTTATTTTTCTCTCTAAAATTTTAATACACTCTCTTTCAAAATTTTAAAATTTGAAATAGTTTCTCTCTAAAATTTTTGAAACAGTTTCCCTCTCTAAAAATTTGATAAACTTTCTATCTCTAATAGTTAATACACTTTCCCTCTCTCTAAAATCTTGAAATATTGTGTCTCTCTAAAACTTGAAATTTGAGATATTTTCTCTCTCTAAACAATTTAAGATAGTTTATCTCTCTAAAATAGGATATCGTTTCTCTCCCAAAAATTTTAAGGTGCTTTCTCTATCTAAAACTTTAAATTTGAGATAGTTCATTTCTAAAAATTTGAAGATACTTTCTCTCTCTAAGAAATTTTAGGTACTTTCTCACTCTAAATTTTGATATAGTTACTCTCTTTAAAATTTTAAGATTCTTTCTCTCTCTAAAACTTAAATTTTGAGATAGTTTCTCTATCTAAAATTTTTAAGTAGTTTCTCTCTCTAAAATTTTAATATACTTTCTCTTTCTAAAACTTAAAATTTGAAATAGTTTCTCTATCTAAAGTTTTTCAAATAGTTTATCTCTCTAAAAATTTTAGGTACTTTCTCCATTTACAATTTGATATGGTTTCTCTCACTAAAGTTTTAAGATATTTTCTATGTCTAAAACTTAGAATTTGAGATAGTTTCTCTCTCTAAAAATTATAGTTTCTGTCTCTAAAAATTTCAAGCAGTTTCTCTCTCTAAAATTTTCATATACTTTCTCTCTCTAAAACTTAAAATTTGAGATAGTTTATCTAAATTTTTTAAATAGTTTCTCTCTTTAAATATGTCAAGTACACTATCTATCTAAAATTTGATAGAGTTTTTCTTTCTAAAGTTTTAAGATATTTTCTCTCTTTAAAACTTAAAATTTGAGATAGTTTCTGTCTCTAAAAATTTTCTGGTAGTTTCTCTATCTAAAATTTGATGTAATTTCTAATATCTAAAATTTTAGTATGCTCTCTCTAAAACTTAAAAATTGAGATAATTTCTCTCTCTAAATGTTTTGAGATATTTCTCTCTAAAAATTTTGTAGTAGTTAGTCTCTCTAAAATTTAATGTAGTTTATCTCTCTATAGTTTTAAGATACTTTCTTTCTCTAAAATTTAAGATTTGAGATAGTTTCTCTCTATAAATTTTAATATGGTCTCTCTATAATTTTAAATTTGAGATAGTTGCTCTTCCTAAAAATTTTATGATCATTTCTCTCTCTAAAAAAATTTGTATATTTTCTCTCTCTAAAGAATTCCGTATACTTTCTCTCTCTAAAGTTTGATATAGTTTCACTTTCTAAAATTTTAAAATGTTTTCTCTCTTTAAAATTTGATATAGTTGCTCTCTCTAAAATTTAAATATTTTTTTTGTTCTTGAGTAGCAAAATGGATCATTTCCATGAAATGTCAATTCCACCTATTTTGGTGGAATTACCTATTTTGGTGGAATTAAGATTTTTAAAATTTAAGCTTAAAATGAACATTCAAGAATCTCATAGAAATCTCAATTCCAATAGAAGTATCAATTCTAAACCAACCAAACACGATTGGCCCAGCTTTTTCAGGAAAAAGTGACTCTTGGAAATATGAATCGAATGAGCCAAACGGGCCCCTAAGGAAAACGTTTTTTGTGTATTCATAGACATTATTTTTTCACGGATTTAGGATCTATGATATAAACTGAGTCACTCTAAATGTATTTCTGCTTTAGATCTATAACTTTGCAACTCAAAAAATAATGTTGATTTATTGATCAACAAATAATTCATCATCGTCAAAAATTTTTCCCAACTAATTGAAATCGGCTAATTGATCTACAAATAATTAAAAAAATAAAATATTAGTTTGTGATGTTCAAATAATTTATTTTATTTTCCAAATTTACAATTGTGGTTATCAAAGTTTCTACCCTAAAACTCTATATTACATTTGAATAGGTTTGTCAGATGAAACCACTGTTCGCAAACTTGGTTGGTCCAACTTGAAACCGGCCGGTAAAACTGGAATGATCCGGTTTGGCTGGTTTTGGTTGTCCGACCAAGCATTTTAAATTTTTTTAAAAAATTATATAAAATCTCAAACATAAGATTTATTTATGGTGTGTTGTTTAATGTTTTTTATCATTTGGCAAATATTGGAAAGTGTTTTGGTCAGGTATATTTATTTTTATGTTTTTCCATCTTTCTTGAAAAATTTCAAGAATACGCTTGGACACAAATCAATTTCTTAAAATCCATTATTTTCATTACATATCAACTTCATTGGGATATGCTTTGTTTAATCATGCTTTAAATATACTTTTCAAAGTTTTTTGAATTTTTAATATTTGTTTTATTTTTTAACACTTTTTGGACCGATCGAGACATGCCTGGTTAGACTGGTTGAACCAGCTGGTTTACCAATTACTCAGACCCGGCCCTTGATCAGTTATCAAAACCCATTATCGAGTCAATATCCCCCATAGTCCATTTGATATTGTGGCGTAAAAAGGATGGGCCCATAAGGATGTTCTTCCAAAGAGTAACTTTTCTTATGAACTCTCCATATAGATGTATTATTAAAATGCTTGTTTTTAAAGAAGCGTACAATTAGAGAGGAAGGATTAATGAGTATTTTTCATGTCAATTTCATCATACCTACAACATTGAAATCGAAGATGTCTTGGATCTCAAGTCCTCCCTCTTCCATAGTAAGACATACATTCTTCTACTTGACTAGATGGATGCCCTTCTTACCAACTATGCCTGCCCATAGAAAGTTTCGATACAGCCTTTCAACCATATTGCATGTACACTTTGGCAAGATAAAATTTAAAATCCAAAAGATAGCCGATGGATAGTACTGATTTCAACAGCTGCAAACAAATATACCGTATAAAGAATATACCATGTAAGGACCATACAAACTTGCCAAGACCTTATCTTAGAAATGAATATACCATGTAAGGACCATACAAACTTCATGGTCGTTGATGTCATCATTGTGCCATCACTGGATGGAGAGTGATGAAGATAGATGGGACCCACCAAAAACTGATATGAATCGAAGTGATTGATCCATCACTATCTATCTATGACTTGGATGATGATAAATACCTATACGATCGTAGATTTACATGTGGTTATATGAATCATATGGGATACTCTACATTGTATTAATGTAAATATCCGTTATATCCCCAAAGATCTTAACAACTAGAACCCTAGTTTTACTTAGGACCTAGAGGTGTGCAGGGTCTGGGTCGAGCTTGGACCGGACAAGCATATAGTCAAGACACACACGCGCACACATGTTACACATAGGCCGGTCCCACAGGGATTGGTAGAAGTCAACCTCGGACCCTTTAGGTCACCACTAGTTCGATTCAGGGTTGACCCCGTTCCAAACCCGACTTATTTACACCCTTGTCACCCAAGTGGGAGAGAAATAAGGGTGGGAAATGGGTCGGATCGGTTAGGGGATCCGATTGGGACCAAGTCTAGGTCTCAGCCTGAGTCCAATTTAGATCCTATTAGGTCAAGTTCGGGTCACCCCGATCCAACCTGACCCGGTATATATAAGTGTAAAATGTGTAAATATATATTAATTCTATTATTAACCTCGAAGAGGACCCGAGTTGGTGATTGGGTTTGACTTGGGTTTGGGTCGGATCAGCGTCTGACATAGAGCTAGTTGGGTTGGGTCTAGACTCGAGCTGACCCACTTGTCGCAACAGAGTGAAAGTGGCCTATCTAGCATTCTCCCGTATTGGGCGACTTCTAGATTTTATTACATTGTATGAAGCAGTTATATGTGATATCCTATCCAGTTTTCAGAATGAAAAAAGTTTATCTAAGGTTGAAAGCTTATATAAACCTAATACTGTAGAAGTAAGTTAAAAAATCTAGTAGATTCAATGTCGGAAAACCTTTCAATTGATCATCTTGACTTCGAGATGTGTGAATATAGTCTCGATCTCGAGATCTATGAATTGGTCTCGACCTCGAGATGTATGAATATAAAAAAACAAATTCAAATCCCAAAAGTATCGAATCCTGTAAGAAGTCATTTGAACCATTTATTTTCAAGATTTTCAAGTATTTATAGATTTGCCCGATCTATATTGTTTTTAGAATTTTAGATTTCCTAATTAGAGTTAAACATGAATTTTCAAATAATGATAACATTCATGGAACTACAAGTACATCTTCTGACAAAATCGAGGGATGTGCCTTAATTGGATGACATAAATTGCATAGTATGAGGGCACCTAATACGAAAAATTCATAAATCAAAGGCACTGTGCCTTTGATTTATGAATCAAAGGCACTCTGCCTAAACACGGTTGTCCTCAAGGTTAAATGTGATGCATTTCTATATTCTTCGCACATGGAGACACCCCATCCGTTCAAAGGGTTATAACTCCAGAAGAAGAGACACGTCCAACTCCAAACCAGCACAATTGCAGAGAGAGGAGTCATAAAAGGAGATGAAAAATCATATGAAAAAGTCGCTCACTAGTGGTAGTAGAGAGAGAAACAGTCTTATTTGGCGTGCACCTGCACTGACTGAGCCCCAACAGTGGGCTTCATCCTCTATTGCTTTTTCTCCTCTCCCCCAACCTCGAGTGAAAATTCCCATATAAATACATCTCACCTCCATAACTGCACAACAAAATAATTTTCTCCTCTCTTCCTCTAGGCTCTTCTGATCTCTCTCTCTAGGCTCTTTTGGAGAAATGGGTTTTAGTGTTAGTATCACGGGTGCATTAGTGATAGTGTTGGTGTGTATCAGTGGCATGTGTAGTGCGCAGCTGAGCTCCAACTTCTATGACACCTCATGCCCCAAGGCTCTCTCCACCATTAGATCAGCCATTCGATCCGCGATCTCTGACGAGAGACGCATGGGCGCTTCTCTCATCTTTCTTCATTTCCATGACTGCTTCGTTAATGTTAGTAGTCTAGTTCACCTGCAGAGAGAGAAGTATTGAATTTTTTATATAGAGAAAAAAATGTTAAGAGGTCTAGCTTGATTTTAGAGAGAAAAAATAATGGTGTCTAGTTTGATTTAAACAGAGAAATTTGTAGTTTATGAATGAGATGCATACAATGACAATTTATTTTTGGTATAAAGAGATCATAATTGTTATTCACTGATAGTGTGTGTGATGTATATATAATAGGGATGCGATGGTTCGTTATTATTGGACGACACGTCTTCATTTAGCAGTGAGAAGAACTCACATGCCAACAACAACTCGACGAGACGATTCGAAGTGATTGATGAGGTGAAATCAGAGGTGGAGAGCATATGCCCAGGTGTTGTATCGTGCGCTGACATCCTGGCCGTTGCAGCAAGAGACTCATCCGAAGCTGTGAGTTTCAACTTTGTAAAAACTTTAGGCTAAACTCTAAATCTAAAGCCTAAACGAAAGGAACATTTGAAAATCTGAACTCTAATGATGGTATGCTCAATTCTAATGTTTCAAAGCCCCTAGGTTTTCTCTTCCCATTATCCGAAATCAGTGTTTTAAAAATTAGAATCGAGCTCCGACTCAGGAGAGATCTCTCCACCGGTCTTACTCGGATCAGTCCCGAGTTAGATTGAGCTAATGATTGAGACAAATCTGACTCAAAACATGCTAGTTGACAAAATCCAAGTCAAAATATCCATTGTATTATCTCAAAGCTCTCCACTCTAGGATAGGGGCTGGGTGGTAAAAAAAAAAAACTAACTCTGTAGTCTATCTAAAACAATGGGTAGGGGTATCTTCTCCATTGAATTAACTTAAAAAAAAAAAAAAAAAAGAAAGAAAAAAATAAAGAAAAGAAAAATAAATAAAANAAAAGAAAGAAAGAAAGAAAGAAAGAAAGAAA